TACGGACTCGGATGAACCAAAAGCTCCCCAGCAGTTTATATGTGATGCTGAACATCCTCACATCCCTGTCAGGCCGACTGCTCCAAAACCTCAAAGCCCCAGCACGGAGAAAGTGATGTGTAATATGGATTTCCAGTGCTCAAACCATCATAGCACACTGTCGTTGAGCTCCACAGAGAGTGAGGAGAGAGGCGAGGTTGGGCCAAAGCTGGGCAGGAATCCCGTCTGCTTCCAGGACGCCGTGCAAACTGTGTACTACGACGATGGAAACGAGGACAGTGGCATCAGCAGTCACTCTCAGCTGAGCCTCAATTTAGCCCCTGGTGCAGAAGAAAAAAAGGAGGAGGTAAGAAAGAACGCAAAATCCTTTAGAAGTTAGATATTTATCCATCAGGTTTTCTCTTTATTAATGCAAAACAATGCAAACAATGCAAAATAACCAGAATACTAATGGCTATTGCAGCTCGTTATTGCTAAAATATGCTGACAGCAATTATTTTCTTTAATATATTCTCTTTGGAAGCTAACATCAAATTATTTTCCCTTTGTGTATTAGCATCCAAGAAAGTTTTGGCAGCCAAGCTGTTCATGTACATTTTCAAGGGCAGCTTATTACGCCCTGCAGTTACACCAGCTTGTCATGTGGGCTTGTCAGATTGTACCAGCCCAGGCAGGGTCTGGCTATGTTTCTTCCAAGCCAAAAGTTCCTTAAGAAGCCTGTACATTTGGAAATAGTGTTGATTCAGTGTGAAACACTTCTCCTGTGGCAGCCTTGCAGGAACAGGATGATATTTGTAGAGCAGTATGTCTTGAAATGTATGATACAGAAGTTTAAACATTCAGATGTTGTCAATGTTTTCCTTGTGTGTTGGTGGCTATGCTGAGTGTAAGCTATTCGGATATTTGCCTGCCAGCTTTGAGCAGCAGAATGTGTTGCCACTGAAGCATTAGAGAAGCCACCAGCACCCCACTATATCTAACTGATATTTCATACCCCCCAGTAGATCAGTAGCTGTGCTGAAGTAAATGCAGACCTGAAAGCCCTGTGGAGGGTCTGTGTGAAAACCATTTACAAAATTAAACTGCCGGTGCTTTTAAGCCACCTTGGTTTGACTAAACGTGTCTTATACCTTGGGTATGCACACATTTCAGCCTTTTATGCTAGTCTTTCATGTCTGTGAAGCCATCTTACTTTTAAAAGCCTGGCAGGGTTTTTACAAACTAACTGTGGATGGTTACAGAACTTACTGATACTGCCAGTCTGCTGGAGAAGAGCAAGTTTGCTTACTGTAATGCTTACAACTATGGTAAGATAGGATGTACAAACACTGGGATCCTGGGATCGTTCCTCATCCAAAGTCCCAGGGCTGCAACATCCATCCATCCTTCCATCCCTCTATCCTTCCACTCATCCACCCATCCATTCATCTTTCAATACCCTCACATAGGGGTGTGTTCAGGGAGACACTTCCACACTGCCAAGGGTGTGAGAAGCTGTCACGCATCCATGTGCCAATGGTGTTTCTCAGGAACAAAATGAGAGGATTAATGCTACTCATCTACCATCTAGTGGTGATCTAGGCTCATGACACAAGTGAAATTCAGCTTGTTCCTTTCCTTGACTCCGCAGAAACCAGTATGCCTTTCAGAAGTTCTTAAATGAATGTCTGCATTGGATGGGTAAAAGTTACTACAGTTTTAGTTTTAACACCACATTCTGTTATTATCTAGCATGCAATTTAAACTTTATGTTATAATATATTTTAAGTTATTTGTGAGTGCAATTTAATGCTCTCTTAAGTTGTCTAGAGTATGCTGTGTGCACTGGTAGCAGCTGTTTGTGTGGAGAATGCACAGACGGTGTAGGATGGAGCCCTTCAGGAAATGAAGGAAATGACAGTGACAACAGGGATAGGTCCTGTGCTCAGCAGGGCTGCAGCCAGGGGACCAATGCCCTTCCCCATGTTGCAGGCACTGCACAGAGCAGTCTGTGTGCAGCTGTATGGCCCAAATGGTGTAGCTGCACCCAGATTTCCGTTCTGATTCAAAAAAGCAGTATTTTTTGGGTGTGGGTGCAGGTACAGATTGGAAGCATGAGGTGTGCGGGACAGTGTTACTGCTGTCATACTTTGCAAGGGGTGTAAGTGTTGCCCTCTCTTCTTCCAGGCCTGCTCCTCATCCCATGCACAACCTTACAGCCATGGCACTCAGTATGAGCATGAAGCAGGAAGAGCAGTGTGGTTTCTTCTTGCCATTTTTTTTTGCAGGGTTTCAGTGTACATTTATTCCTCCTCACTATTATGCATGAAGGTAGTTTGGTACCAGAGATGCCAGTTTTTTTTAATTGGAGCTTATTCAGCCCACAGGCACTGTGGCGAGTGCCACATATTCACACAGTGAGGTCATTGAGGTTTGAACTTTCAACTACATTTCATTTTTAATTCTACCTCACACCTCTGTATTACAGGGCTGTACACACCCAGAGCATTGTTTTCTTGACAGTCAGGTGCTTGATTTGTTCTCTGCAATTGTTTGAGATGTAATGCTGAGCAATGCCAATCCAAAATTTTAAAGACTGAACCTTTAGTTCATGGGCAAATCTACATAGTTTCCCTGTTTCACGCATCTTCTTTTTTATGTAGATTTTATGTAAAAGCCAGCATGTAAAAGCCATTAAAATCTCTGTGACTCGGAGGTATATTTCTCTACAAAGTGCTAAGCAACCAGGCTCACATCTCCATGCATGCCCAGATGTGGAAGCTACCCAGCATTTCCCTAACGCTGTGAAGCTGATTTCATGGTATTCTCACAAGGACATCTACTGAATCATTTGAATTAGGGTAGTGGTTTTTTTCCCACCGCGATTCAGGCTTGACATCTTGTTGCTGTTGTCTTTTGTTTTCACCTGAAGACTGGAGAAGGTGAGCTGTTAGGCCTTCTCAGTTGCTGGTTTCTGCAGGTGGTGCTTCCCAGGGAAGAGCTGACTAAATGCAGCGTGGGTCTGTGTCTCAGCATGTGTTAAACTACAGGTGTGAATCACCTAAGCTCATCTGTGACAGTCCTTGCTCTCCTAGTCTCTGCTTTTGACAGTGTCTCCCATACCCCAGTATGCTGCTTTTGAATAGCATCAGGAGATGCTTAAGTACAATTTCAGATTTGGATTGTTTTACATAGTTTGTATTTTCCTGAAGAAAAGTCCCATGTCAGTGTACATACCTTTTCTTTGAACTGGTGTATGTCAGCCATGAGCTGCAAAAACAGCACACTCTTCTGTTCTTGTTACAAAAACCCAGCAGTGAATTATTTGACATATTACCTCGTGTTTCGCAAGCTCTTGGAGCACCTGCTGTTTAAAGTTGCCTTGTTGGCATCTGGCTTCCTGTTGCACTAGACTTTATATTGCTTAAATGCAACACCTTATCTATGTGACTGTAAGTGAATGATAGCTTGTAAGTGAAGAGATAATTCTGCTGTACTCAGCTGGGTGATATTTTGTTTGCAGATTATACTTTAACTGCTTTAGGATCAATCTGTTGACTCACTTATGTCCATGCCATGTAACATTCAGTGGTCCTACCTCATCCACACCATGCAGTCCCCCTGAGCTCAGCTGTTTGTATATGGCTGTAACCTGCTGTAGCACAGGACTAGGATGGAGTCGCCTCTCCCATCTTTTCCATACTCATCTCTGGGCTCAGAATATTTTGCACAGATGGCTTAATCTGGGGTAAAGCTCTTGGAAGAACTGTTAGAGTGGGAACATGAAGATTCAGCTCTGTTCTCAGTGTTCATCCTTTTGCAGTACCAGGTCAGCAGCTCTCAGCTTCCTGAGCTTTTTGTGTTGTTATTCATCTCCAGGTCATCCACGGCAGTTAGAGTGTGGCTTAATCACCTTAATTGGTATGACCGAAAATGTGCTAAACTGTGAAGCATTAAGTAAATAAGTGTGAGAACTTCAGCTGGGTTGATTTCTCCCAGTGAAGTCCTAAGCACTCTGGTGTCACTCCCAGTGCTGCTCTGGCCAGAGACAGCAGAGAGCATTTCGAGAGGCTCTCAACAGCATCTCTGATGGCAAACAAAGATTTCTGTCAGACTGAGTGGTGCTCTGAGCTCTGGGCTGCCTCATACATTGCCACACAATGTTTTCACCTTTAACGAGGTGCTCAAAGAACTGTTTCCAAGTGTGCTCACACAGAGCTTAGCCAGAAACCAGAAGCGTGCCTTGCAAAAACCCCAAACTGCAGAGCTGCTCATTGAAATAATACAGCACAGAATTCTCAAAGCACACAGATATCTTTCTTTCTGTCATAGCAAAAACTCTTCCAACTCATTGCAGCAAACTCTGCCTTTCAGAGCAGCCCTTAATCTTTTGCTGCTGTATCTTCTGCTAGGAAGAGCAGAGCAGTGGTGGACAGTAATCTGATTTCTGGATCTGGTTAAGAGTAACTCTGCAGTTCTGAATAAAATTGGCCATTCCTAAACACTGGTAGAGTGACATGAGATTGTTATCCCTGCAAATATATATTCTAAAGGGGGATATGGAAATGCACTTCACAGTGTTGCCCTGGAGGAAGCTGCTGCACTCCTGTCTTTACAGAGTGTCTGGTACTTGGCTCCAGTGCCCTGAAATTTTGGGTACTGCCAGGTGCTGCTCACACAGGTCAGGACTTACACCCCAGGCTGTGGAGTGCTGCTTCGGGCCATGTAACTCATGTATCATAGAATCACAGAATATCCTGAGTTGAAAGGGACGTGCGTAAGGACTATAGAGTCCAATTCCTGGCTCCATACAAGATAACCCCAAATCCAATCTCAATGTCTGAGAGCATTGTCCAAACGCTCCCTGACACTCGGGGCCGTGCCCACTGCCCTGTGCAGGCTGTTCCATGCCCACCGCCCTCTGGTGCAGACCCTTTCCCTCACCCCCAGCTGCTCCTCCCCTGCAACGGCACAGGTTGCCCAGAGGCTGTAGGATCTCCTCCTTGGAGATCTTCCAAAGCTACGTGGATGTGGCTCTGGGCACTCTGCTCTAGGGGTCCTTGCTGGAGCCTGGAGTGGGCCTGATGGATCCAGAGGTCCTTTCCAACCGCAGCCATTATGTGGTTCTGTGAGACTGTGATGTCTGAACGGAATGGAGGCAGCCATAGGTTTCCTCTGAGCCACCTGTGTTTGCCCTTTCTGGCACCCAAGGGCTGCTGGGGGTGCAGCTGAGCGCCTCAAACATGGGGAAGAGGTGGAGCACAACAGGCTCAGCTCCTCCAGCCCTGAGCTCAACCACAATGGCCTCACCCTCACACTGTTCTCTAGCAACTAATAGTTTGCAGACATTGAACTGCCCAAGGCAGCTCCACCCACTGCAGGCTGCAGGCTGAGACTGTTTTTGGGACCTGCTGGCTGCTTGGGTTTGGGCTCTGGCAATGAGACTGTGCACTGGAACCAGGGAACCTCCTCCTAGAAAAATACTTAGGAGTCTGACAACTTTTTATGTTCCACTTTGTTTGCAGAAAGTTCCACTTTCAAGCTATAGTTAACATCTGGCTTTTGAGGTTTACCAGCGGATGTTACAGAGGTTTCACCATGTAGAAGGAAGATGGCTATTTTTAGTCCTCCTACATGCTCTGGGGTGTTCCAAGTCTTGATTTAGAAGTTTTATAGGGATTATTTAGGGGCTATTAGCGCTTGTGCATCTTGAAAGTCTCAAAAGATATCAGTGCTACTTTGCTGTATACTGCACACTAGCTTATAATTTAAATACCGAATTAAGAAAGAAACAGCATTAGAACATCATCCAGCAATCCCCAAATATCAAGACACCAGAAAACTAGTGGAAACCATTTCTGTTTTTAACATACTTGCATTTCATAGGTCTGATCAGATTCTTTCTGCAAAGCAAATACATGTTCCTGCACCTCCCCTTTGCCAGTCAGAAATGTGCTGGCTGCATTTGGCTTTGGAAATGCATTACATGGCAGATGAAGGAAATCCTTGAGGCAGAAGAATAGACTGGAGTCAGGAGATCTGCTGGTCATTTCCAGCTCAGCTGTGCTCTTCCTGTGTCACTTGAATTACCAAACTGCTTTGTGTCTGCTTCTTATCTGTGAAATGTGAATATTACAGAGGTGAACTCAGTAACCTTTGTAAAGCATGTTGGGAAAGCATTAGGCTTGTTGATGGTGATAATCATGCTTTCAAGGCAGGTGAAAAGAAGCAAATCTGTATTAAATATGCCTTTGAAACATATGGCTGTCTTTGATTTGGGATTGTATCTGTATAGAACTTCTAATGTGATTTATTGGTAAATTTATTAGTTAAAATTCCATAAATGCTTTCATGCCAGCAAATCCCTCAAGTAGAATTATACACATTTTTTCTAACTTTGAAAGCTTCCAAAACGAGTGCTTACTGCAGAAGCTTGTGTTGTTAACAGGGCTTGATTCTTAGCACGTTAGGAATGAAAGTAATGTGATTTTACTGTCTTGCAATGCAAATCTTTTGTGCATGCATCCGAGGAACTCACACATGCATAGTGCAGCAGTAGCACTTTAGAGGAACCCCTTTAAAGCAGCGCTTTGCAAAATTTCAAACTGTGGATCCACCCAATTTTGAAAAAAAAAAAAAAAAAAGACAAACTATCCTGCTTGAATGGCTTTGATTCCCAAGCAGCTGCAATTTACGCTAAAATTTGAATGCTGCATTACTTTGATTTCTTCTGCTTTGCTTGTTAGTGTAGGTGTCAATGCATGTGGTTTTATATAGTATTTTTGCAGCTGTATTCCCATCCTGCAGACCACTGATCAAATAGCAATGTATATTCCAGGGACAGATAATCAATGCATTTATTTAGGGCTTCCTCCAAAGCTAATTAGAAAGAGATGTGTATGAGCCACTGGAATGGAAAGACAAAGGTTATAGTGCAACTGGCATTTAATGAGAAAGGAGCAGATGAAAAGTTTCTTTCTATAAGTGAATTGAACAGGTTTAATAATTCAGGTTGGTTTTTGATAGAAGATGCACACACTGACTGAATAAGTGCTTTTTTTATACAGTAAAAACAGTCATTTCCGTGATAACCACTGCTGTGATGGCAGCACTGGAAATCGTCAGTCCTGGTGCATAAGTGGAAAGTAACTGAGCTCTGATTACACTTTAGGACCTTTTAATAAAATTTGGAAAGAAAACAATAAATACGTTTTCTCTAGGAGGCTCTGTTGTATCCGGAGTCTCCTAATCTCTGTGTTTGTGACAGCAGTTTGGTAATAAAATTATTGATCATGTCCATAAACAACCTTCTAACCTCAGTTAGTAGTGATGATAAATGAACTACAACTAAGTGTTCCCCTGCTGCTGTTTTGCAACAAGAAAAAGTGCAAAGGTTACCTTTTATCATGTTCCTGGGTGGAGACACACTGCCTGGACTTTTACTTAGTTAAATGATGGTGATAAATTTATTTATGACACCTAGGTCATGAGCACTTGGCCCTTTACATTTTTGCTAGCTCGTATGAATTGAAAATCATTTTTAATACTGCTGCTAAGTTTCAGGGATTTGGCAGCTCCTGTGTAGTGGCAGTTCTTGGATTGTGCAGAAGTATCAGCTATTTAATAGACACTGATTATAATACTGATGAATAGCTGTCATTGCTAGTATAACAAATTGATACAGTTTTATGTGCAACTTCAAAATGAACACAATAACATGCACTTGTGATGCAAGCAGAGATACCTACACGAAATAGGACAAATACCACAGTTTTTCCCTATAAATACTCCAGAATCTCTTTTTCCTCACGATTCACAGAACATGACCAATTATCCATCACATTTCAGCTTTCACTGAAAATATGGCATAATAAAGGATGTTAAAACTTCTCAGACGTTCTTAAATTTTGATTTTCTCTCCAGGCAGAGGGAAGGGTAATGGAGAAAGGAGATGGGAAAAATCTTTCTAGAGACTTAAGTGTCCCCTTATACTTTTATATATCTATAAATTATGAAGCCTTAACTCTATTGTAAATTTAGAACATAAAAATACAAATAAAAAATCCCTATTAGTGATTGTAGGGCTTGGGAATGCATATGAGCAGGCAAGGAGACTCAGCTGTGTACCATGTTTATAATGTGATTTTTACTGGGAAGCTTAGTGACAAAACCAGATCGACAAAAGCTCACCTGTGATTGTTTGAGCATTGCCAGCATAACAAGTGCACCAGTGGCAGGCGTGTGTTGTGTTGCATTTATAGTTGTAGGTTTTTTTTTCATGCAGCCAAGCACGTCTGTTGAGTATGGGATGTTATTTATGATCGGTATCACTGTGCCAGCAGAAGTCCCTCCGTGCAATTTCAGGTAGTGGCAAATTTTTGCAATTTCAGTGATAGAACTTGCATCCTCATAAGCAAGGCCATCCACAGTGCACAGAACAGGTCATAGAGTCATTGAATAGTCACAGAATTGTTTGAGTTGGAAGGGATCGTTAGAGGTCATCTAGCCCAGCTCCCAGCAGCGAACAGGGACATCTTGTGCTGCTCTGGAGAGTTACCCTCGCCTTGTGTAACACTCCCTCTGGAGGCAGTTTTTGATGCCAAGTTTATAAAATGTACACTCTAGTCTAAGTAGTAATTGCAAAATCTGGCTCTTATCTGGCTGCAGTGGCTAAGTTAAGATTTCAGTGAACATCTGAGCTGATCTTGCGTACATTGGTGTTAATGAGTAATAGAGAATGCCAATGGCAACAAAGCTCCCCTGAGTGCAGCAGTGTTGTACTGCCAGATTGAGGTGAGAGCAGAGCTGAGCCCCTGAAGCTGCCAGACTGCACTGGGAAATCAGTCTGGGCCAGGTAGAGGAGAAGTACATCCCAGCTGGCTGTGGGCTCTGTGATGCAGGCATCTCTTCTACCTGGGTTCCTCACTGGTTCCTGCTCCTGGTGCTGCATGGCTGAGTTGTTTGTATGCTGTGCTGATTGTAGGTCCCACAGATACTGTTGTGTGGGAGCTCAACTTGACTGCCTGAGCATAAACACCCAGTGCTTTTGCAGATGCCCTGGGCAGTTCCCCTGCCCTGGCTCCAGGGGCTACTTCAGGATAGCCCAGGCCTCCTGTAGGGCCTGCGCTGCACTTGTGTGATGCATGGGGTATGGAGATATGGCAGGTTCCTTAGGATGCTAAGTGACAAAATATTGGTGGTAGGTAGATGGTTGGACTGGATGATCTTGGAGGTTTTCTCCAGCGTTGGTGATTCTATGATTCTATATTTGAAATGGCATTGGGTGACTGTGTTTAGGCAACAGAATTTTGCCCCAGGTTTCTACAGATTACAGTGAGAGCTTTAATGTCTAGCTAACATACAGACATTACAGACGTTTAGGTGTGGGTTATCTGGAGCTGAATCCCACCCTATCAGTTAAGACAGACACATTACATGGGAACAGTAGCCAATAAAAACATGTAGTCTGGATTGAAGTAAGTGTTTGTTTTCTGTAAGTTTCTGTAAGTGTTGTATCTGTAGAAATACATTGTTGAAATACAACTTATACACTGTTATAGGAATGTCTGGATAAAATTTATTAATCTGCACCAGTATAAGTCATTAGATCTGTTTGTGTTTGCAGACTTATGAATCTTAACTGAGGGCGCAGTCTAAAAGACAAGCTGAATGATCTTGCTTGCTAACACTGGTTACCCTGTTCTGTAGCCTGCCTGGCAGGCATGAATTTCAGAAAGACCAGCATGGACTCAGCTTTCATTAGACCTTCAGTTCTTGGGAATCTTGAAATTCCTTGAAATTTCTGACCAGCACTTAGAATTCTGGAGTCCATGTGTGACACTTTGATCTTCTCCCTACATTAAGTGCCATGCATATCTATACCCGTGTCTGTAAATGTCAATATAAACCCTATTTCACTTGTAAGGGATTAATCACGAGAAGATCATTTGAGGTCAGTGGTGCTGTACCAGTATGAAGCTGGTGATAGCTACTTGCTTAAGTGCCCGAAGTATTGGAGTCTCTGAATTTCATGCTGGGTATTTTATTCCTGGCAGTCAGCATCTCTTGATCAGGCCCCTCCTGCCTAAGTAGGTCACTTACAGCAGTGGTTATCAGGTTATCAGTCTGGTTTCCTCTGATTTTTTGCTAGGAGAGGATTACAATTCTGTTATTACTATTCTTCAGTGCATGTTATGGGTGTAAGCCTAAAAATACATGTACTTCAGGATTGTTTATTGCACAGCAGATCAGTCTCGCTGTCATTTGAATCAACTACTGTAGGTGGAGTGCTACAGGAGAACAGTCCTCTCTTTGCAAATGTTATTGGTCAAGATAAGTGTGTAAAAAGCAGATTAGGAGATGACATGTGACGTGTCCTTCCCTCAGTCTAAAAGTGCAGGTCATGAGATGAACTTTGCCTGACTGGTTATGCAGGGAGTTTATTTGCACTCATGGTTCCTAGAGACAAGACTTTGAAAAAGAGAAATATAAAATGACTCTGAACTCCTGTCTCAGTTACTGTATATGTGGAGAGCCTCTACCTGTGTCTGATTCAGAGGTAAGAACCTTCTTTAACCTGTGCTTTTGCTGCCATGACCTTCGAGGGGGCTTAGGGCCAGCCTCACCTGCTGTGCTGAAGCTGTCGGTGTGGCAGCTGGGTGCTCACTTCCCTGTGAATGGCTTCAGCTCAGCCAGTCATGGGCTGAAAGCTGCAGGGAAGCTCAAGTGTTCTTGAGTGATAGCTGTGATGGCATAGAATGCAGAATTTATGAAAGTGTTCTATTCAGAGGAAATTTCCTGTCATAAATGGAGGAATTTAATGTAGAACAAAGGACATGGATCATTTTTCATATCTCAATTGCAGTAATCATATTAAACTGCTATTTAATAATGCTGCCTACTAGTTAAAGTGGTTTCATACAGTGAAATTCCTCTTAAGCTGTCAAAATTTGCCTATTCTGTCAGGTGCTAGCAAGGGCTGTGCTGGCTGAAAATGGCATATAGAGTAGAAGGTAACAGAAGATGAGCTATTTTATATAGGCTTCCTTGTAAATCAGTGGTTCTAGGCTAATGGTTGCTTTGAATATGCAGTACCTGAAATGCCTTCATCTCATCTAAAACAGAAACAAATGGTAGCCACGGACAATCAAAATGTAGCCTCTCTTTTTGGAGTATTTTTTAGCTTTGAACGTTGTCAGAAATGCACTTGGGCAGTGTAAAGATTCTTGATAAGGAAGTTGGCTGATTTTTATTACAAAAAGGTCAAAATTAGTTCATAATTCATAAAAAATTACAGCAGGGTTCACCTGCTCACAGTGAATTGGAGTTTATCACTTGCTCCAGCTGGCAGTCATGAAAATCCAACCCAGAAACACCTGTCTCCCCCTCTCTATTTTTTTTCCTTTCTGTATAGATGAGCCAGGAAAGGCCAAGGAAACACTGAGAGTTTGGAAATTTAAGGCAAAAGTGAATACAAATTTTAATGTGCAATATTTTCTTATCAAAAACTTCAGAAGTTCAGATAGAGAAGTTCATAGCAGCTTTACTCCATGTGGACTAAAGTCCTTCAAAATGTTGCCACTGATAAGTATTTCAGTCAAGGCTGTTTTAAAGCAAACTTGCAGTGCTAGTACAAATGTGACACCTATGGGCATTGGCCTCAATGGGCCAAATGGGCTGCTAAATACAAATGACATTTATATTTTCTTAGCTTTCTTTCTGGAAAGATTAATTTTCCTATATTTGTATTATAGTGTTGTATCACTCTTTCTGCTCTATCTGACATGAGAGATAAGTAATTTCTCCCTTCCAAAATGAATCATCTCACTAAACCAATTTGCACACAGCCACAATCTGTAGATCTGGCACTAGAAAGAGTGTGGGAAGGGTGGTAGGAGGAATGTGACTGCCCATGTTGGTTTCACATACAGTAACCTGGCAGTAGCAAACCTTCACACTGAGATTCACAGCTTGTTTCCATCACTGGGTAGAGGTAAAGCAGAGGAAAATGTGTGTGTTTATTTATTTATGTTTTTAATAAATGCTATATTTATCATTTCTTACGTATATGAAGTTCTACAAGTGCCATAAGACAGGACTAAGTGAATGCAGTGTTCATGATAATGTCATAAGTGCCTTTAGACACTGCAAAGGCCACAGGTGAGTTACTAATGGTATCAGTGATGTGACTTGCCTAAGAGGTGCTGCCAATGTAGTGTTAACTTTACACAGCACAAACAGCTTGTGATATCTTTCTCTTGCAAAGTTACTGTCTTCCTGAATTGTCAGCTGTATTTATTGTATTTATGGTAACAATTTCTTTTTAGCAATGTTAAGTTGATCTGCCGTGTGAAAAACTCGCAATTGATTTAAGTATCAGAAAATTCTGTAGCTTATTTGACTTGTTCACATTTAAAAAGGTTGTTTCTGATGACCATTGGAAGAAGTCCCCATCCCAGGATGAAGAAAAGACAGACACGCAAAGGGTCACGCCCAGGAGATGGGGCTCTGGAAAAAGGTCTCGGCCCAGACCACTCTCAGACTATGGCCAAATGTCAATCAGAAGTATCTCTATACCTGAAGATGCAGTTGCTGTGGAGTCACAGAAGACAGACTGCACGGATGGAGAAAATCAGCCAGGACTGGCTTCTGTTGGGTCTGTGATCCAAAGCAATACAGTAGGCTACTCCAGAGGGCGAAAAAGAAGACCCATCTCTGTAATAGGTGGGGTCAGTTTCTATGGAAGCGGTCCGGCAGAAGAAATTGAAGGTCTGCTGACACAAGTAAGATAGAGATGTGCTCTCTGCAAACTGCATAAGACCCTTTCACTTCCTTGTCTTTATCTTCAGCCTAGAAAATAGAATGGATGCTTCCTTTTCTTCCTTCCCTTTTGTCAAGCTGACAGCATATACTTAAATTTCTGCTTTCCTTGTCACTAATTACTTTATCTTGTTGTTAAAAAACAAAACAGCATGGAATAAAACTGATACTGTCTTTGGGATATCTTTTTTGTATTGTAAATTAACCTTGTTTCATTCTTGGAGTGATTGTTACTTCCCATATTGGTGTGTAAGAACTCATTTGTGTGTAATACAGCTCTGTATTTAGTTACCTCACAGGGTGTAGACTGTGAGGAACAAAGGAGTACAAACATATGATAATAACATATTGTTTGTCAGTCGTTTCAAAATCTCCAAAAGCAGATCTGTTCAAACCTGCAGTGATTGTTGTGGTGTTCAAAATCTTAGGATTGGTATACTAAGAGTACTTAAAATTAATAAGAAAGTCACTTAAGAAAATTGCTAATGGTTTAAGAAGTTATTGAAATAAAGAGTTAAGAACACTGACAGTATGAAAAAAATGCCTGTCTGTGTACTTCTGAATTGACCTGATGGAATATAGGAAGCCTATAAGGAAATAGCAAGTAATTCAGTTAGTGCTTGACGGATACCTGTATACGTGCTTGCCTTTTACACTGGCTTAGGTTAGAGACTGAGAAATAGAAAAACATCTGAAATACAAAAATAGCTCCTTTTTTTTCTGGAGGTAGTCTTGAAAAGGTATGATGCATAAAGGAACTTGCTGTTCTGTTCACCTGTTGCCCTGTTTTGTAGGTGTTTAAAGAGCTTCAGTCTCCAAGGCTTTGGTAATGCTGCAATGGTAGAGTGTCCTACACATTCTAGGAAAGCTGTAGGACTCCTTCCTGAAGGAGCTGTCAAGTTAATAAAGCACAAATTTGTTATTAGTAAGTAATAAAAGAAATTTAAAAATGTGATTCCAGTGGTTAGTAATATTATCTGGAATCCTCTTAACCTTTTTCATACTACTTTTTCTGGAAAGACCAATGCAGTATTATTTATGGTTATGCTAGACCCCTGATTGAAACTAACTGCTGAAATAATGTTAGTACTGGATTTTCAGTCTTCTGTGAAAAGCAGTTTTTAATATGAATTGTCATATTGCATGTTTTTTCTTTCTGTTTTCCTGACGAAACGATGGATCCTGAAGTTTGTACCAGCAAAACTGGCTGAAGCCAATGGAGGTTCTCCTCAGTCAAAGGCTATGCAACTGGGATGTTTTTTAAATTAATTTTACCAATAATTAAAAGAGGAAAGCTCTTTTTATAAATTTTTGGCCACAGAATCCTTTGACTAAGAAGGGACCCTGAAAGGTCATGTAGTCCAACTCCCCTGCAGTGAACAGGGACATCCACAGCTACATCAGATTGCCCAGAGCCTGGTCCAGCCATTTTACCCACAGATACAAAGATTTCAAGGGATATCGAATATTGCAACATACTGTCTTTAAAACAACCCAAATAATTCTTGCTTATTATGGAACTCATTTAACATTCCAACCCCTTCATTTACTGCTGAAAATAAATGGTATTTTTTCAAACATTGCTCACACCTTGCTCAGTTTATTAGTGAAGGACTATCCATCAGGGCAGCTATTTGAGTTGACTCTTTCTTTGCTCGGATGCTGCTGCAAGGGCTGGGCTTCAGTGAGTGCATTGCTGGGACCACAGAACTGTGGCCAAAACCAAAAGTATGGAGCATTCCCAAGAAGGGCACCTTTTTAAGCCAAATGATGGCTTTCACAGGTCTGCCACAGAGTGACAGCGCTAGGGAGGGAAGGAATCCGGATGAATGCCTTAGATAAAAAATATTACCTGCAAATAAATAACTTTATTGTTTAATGGGCCGATTACTTGTCTATAGTGACTGACATTACTTCTGTTAGCTATTTGAAGCAACAGATCTGACTTACTCTTTATTATTGTTTAGTGATAGGATCCTGAGACATTGCTGGGATACTGAGGAAATGAAGTTGAAGACGAGGTCGCAGTTAAATTGTACTAAATGCACACTGGGCTTTTGGACAGTCCTTAGTACATTTGTAGCTGAAATGTCAAAAAAAAGGGCTAATGAATCAGGCATACATGTGTAGATGGATTTTACATGGGTCTTTCAAAGGCTGATCTTTACCTTGCTGATATTCTTCTTAAAAGCTTTGAAAACTCAAAGGAATATTTTAGGAACGTAATGTTAATTCCTTCGTTTTGGCTTGGTCTGACAGCTTAAGTGTGAGGTACAGTTTTCAAACAATACCGAATTGTTGATTTCCTAAGGGAGCATCAACAGATAGACCATAAAAAAAGCCCTGATGTTTCAGATTATTTAATGAGAGGGCCTATGAACAATAACCACTAAAAGATAAGAGAAGATTAAATATGTCTTTCTTTGAAGTTTGCATGATGAGATTTTGCTGTTCAATGTGGAGAGCTTATGCCAGGTCATTCAACCTGGTGGATATGAAAGTTGTTCAGGGATGATATAAAGTTAGACTCAATTTGCAAATAGGTGGATTCTCTAATCATAGTGAAGCAAGTGAATTATTTGAATAAAGAAAATGTCTTCTACATAAACTTAAAAGTAAGCTAAATATTATCTCTTTTTAATGTGACTCCTGGGATCTTCAGAGCCAGGGGATTGCTTAGACCATCATCTTAGTCTTACAAAAGAAATCTATTTTACTTATATGAAGAAAAAAGCAGCCTAGGAAATGTATGCAACTTCCAGCTGTAGCAATGTTGGTCATTCTTAGAGTATTCAGAGGGATATTTACAAAGTTAGCCTGAAATCAGTTAGATTCCAGAGCATTTAGGTATGGAGTATTACAAGATGAAAGTTGCATTGTGTGCCTGATTGTAAGAGAAAACTATGGAGTTTTAATGTAACAGAGAACTATAACATTACAGAATGTGATGGTGGTGAATAGTGTTTAAGAAACCTGAAGTTGTGTGGAGTGGGTGTGTTTGCTGCCCCTGAAATTTGCTGGACTACCAGCAGGAACCGTCCTTCACACCATGTTGTACTCAGCAGACTGATGACTAAGTTGGTTACTAACACTGATCTTTCACGTTTTCCCCACAGCCCACCACGCGGCCGCCCGTCCCCGCACATCAGGTGCCCCCCTACAAAGCTGTCTCTGCCAGGTTCCGGCCCCTCACCTTTTCACAGAGCACTCCCATTGGCCTGGACCGCGTTGGGCGACGGCGGCAGATGAGAACATCTAATGGTGAGAAGTTCTTTCAGCTCTGGGTCTCATCTTCTTGCCCCAGTTTGGCCAGCACATAGCTCAGTGTGAAATAAGAAATGGTGCAAACAAACTCAGTGACAAAGCTGTGCACAGTTAGCTTGCTTCGTTTTATAACTTTCTTGTCAGTAGCTTGTCCTGCACAACCTTGTTCTTCACACCTCCTCTATGCTCTGGTTTACTCTTTTGTGCCACATGTGCTTCTGTATTTTCCACTTTGTGTTCACATATTTGCCCACAGCTAAAACTGAAGTATGAAGGAAATAAGTTATAACATGCTTGAGTTCACATGCAAACCACACCATATCTATTTAAAATTTTCTTTGTTATGCATTCAACTTCACTTCCTAGGTAGAAAAACATTAAATAATTGAATAGCTTGTCTCTGAGAACTGTTTGCAGCTGCATTTGCTTATCTCAGGGGTGCAAGAAGCCCAGCTAGATTTCTGGTCAATAATGAGTAGATTCCAAAAAGATTGCCTTTTTGGAAGCAGTACTCTTTATCAGCCTCTGATACATGCTGCATGTTTTTTTCTGTAATTCTTTCCTATTAGGACACAATGTTATCTGTAGGTAATATAAAATCATATTTAGTGAAACATTTCTTGGCAGATGAGAAGAGTTTGGGTTAGTACCAATTGTGTTCTTTCACAGTGAGCATAATCTGAACAGTTGTGTTTTATTGATGAGATTTGGAAATAAACAAAATGTTCACTTCAGAACCTTTACTGGCACAAAGTCCTGCTGGGAGCCTTCACTCTGCCTCCTTGCACACAGAATCAGTAAAGATGTCTGAATAGGGCCTGCTGTGACTACAACAAGTTCAGCAAGACCAAGTGCCAGGTCCTGCACTTTAGCCACAACAAACCCAGGCAGTGCTACAGACTTGGGGCAGAGTAGCTGGAAGACTGCGTAGAGGAAATGGACCTGGGGGCATTGGTCTGTGCTTGGCTGAACATGAGCCTGCCTGGGTGGCCAAGAAGGCCAATGGTATCCTGCCTTGTATCAGCAATAGTACAGCCAGCAGGAATAGGAGCTGATTGTCCCTCTGTACTCAGCACTGGTGAGGCCGCACCTCAAGTACTGCATTCAGTTTTGGGCCCCTTGCTGCAAGGAAGACACTGAGGACCTGGAGTGCGTCCAGAGTAGGGCAACGAAACTGTGAGGGGTCTGGAGCACAAATCTATGAGGAGTAACTGAGGGAATTGGGATTTTTTTAGTCTGAAAAAGAAAGGCTTAGGGGAGACCTTATCACTCTCTGCACCTATTTGAAAGGAGGTTGTGGCAAGGTGTGGGTCAGCCTCTTCTCCAGCATAACTAGCGATAAGACGAGAAGGAATGGCCTCGAGTTGCACCAGGGGAGGTTCAGGTTGGATTATAGTTAAAATTTCTTCCTTGAAAGAGCGGTCAGGTAAATGGAATGGGTTGCCCAGGGAGGTGGTCAAGTCATCCCTGGAGGTGTTCAAGAAACATTTAGATTTACTGAGGGGCATGGTGTAGTAGGGAAACATTGGTGATAGGTGGACGGTTGAACTAGATGATCTTGGAGGTCTTTTCCAATCTTGGTGGTTCTATGATTCTGTGATTCTAAGCAGGAAATCTAACTAAAAGCATTTTTCAATGTTTCTTTGGTAAAATTACACTTATCTTTAATAATCAGTACTTGGTTTATATGATTCTAAATTTTTGTTGAGTAATATCCAAATTCTGCTCAAAAATCTGTCAGCTACAAATCAATTTATAGAAGAATATTTTAAACTGCATTTTCCTTTGTAAATATTAGTTTTTTGCAGAAGGTGCTCTCCAAGAAAAAGAGTTTAAACTTGCTTCGTATGGCAAAGAGAGATGTTATATATACAATATTAGTGTTTCCATTTTTATTATAGGAAAACATTGGGAACTACTTTAAAACCCATGTGTGGGGTGTGTCATTGCTGTGAGTATCTCAGCTTAATGATTCAGACTGGGCATAGAGCTGAACTGCATTTCCTTTTGCAGTCCTTGTTGCAACCACATGGTATCTTGGTCTGTGTTTCTAAAGACTGTCCACAAATTCACAGTTTTTGTTTAGAAAAAAAGAAATTAAGTATCAGAGAGAATAAATTGTCTTTTTATTTTATTTTGAATTATCCTTTCCATTTTGTATTTGTTAATCACATGAAATGACATTAGTTTCCCTAGACAACTGCCTGAGTGTAGTATATTTCCAGGTATTTGGCTTTAGAATAGCTGTTCTCCTTAATATAAGCATCAGGATGATGAGTGCTCAAAGCAAGATTTCTGCCAGTATTCAAGAGAGTGAAGCAATATTGATTATACTAGATGGGACTTTTATGACTTGTTATAATAAACATAGAAATTGAAAAGGAAAAACTTCTTTAATGAAAGCCCTGAAGGCAAGTGGGAAAGCAGGTGGCTTTGTAATTAAAGGGCTGTTGCACAGATATTCTAAGTAGCTCCAGTAGAAAATAATGAAGTGACTAGTGTCACACGTACTGATCTCTTTCCTTTTCTCTTAAATTCACAAGGCATTTCCTTGTCTTTGAACATATGAGAGTTTTTGTTTGCTCATGTACAGTGAAATTTGATAACACAAAAGCCCTTTATTAGGGCAGAAATTCTAGACCCAAGCCTTGAAAACCAGCGGTATCTTATTTTAGTGACTTGTTAAAGCCTAATATATTGCATGGCTACTTTTATAACAGTGGGAGATAGAATTGGAGATTTAAATTTTTAGAAAATCAGCAGTTACAAGACAGTAAATCTTCATGCTGTATGAGACAGAAACAGCCAAGACGTAAGGAAAACTTTCCTTGTGACTCTTATTGCTACTCCTCTGCTTATAGCATTACAATTTTAAATTAATATGAATGAAGTTACCTAATTATCACAGTAGAAGAAATTATTATTAACATCTCAGAAATTCTGTCTTTTTTATATTCTGTGGGCTTGAATTTGGCTGAATTCATTTGTGAACCTCGTTAGATAGCTTCAGCTCTGAGTAGCTGGAGCTGGATTCAGCTCAAGTTTAAGTCACCTCAATTTAGTCCAAATGTGACTATCTGCATGAGAGTAACACTTTCAAACACCCATCACAGGCAGGGGCTTGATTCAGTTGCCCGCCCAGGTGTCCAATACAGGGATACCTGAGTATATGCATGGGACTGGCAGTTGAGATGAAGAACCTATGGGCAACCTATTCCTTTCATGAGTGGTAGCCAGAGATCAGTTGGATATCCAAAATACTTGAAATGGTGCTAAGTACCTGTGATGTTAAAGCAACTGATGGGAGCCCTTAGTAATTTCCCCCAGAGCAGATTTGATAAGGAATATCCTTAGAGTGGACTGAATTGCTCTCTCAGCTTGTTCAATTCCTGTTGATTGTAATGGGAGTTTAGACGCTGAGTTGAAATGTAAATCTTGCCACTCAGATTAATGCATCCTTCTATTTGCTCACACAACCATTCAGCTACCATCAAGGTTTTCACAGCTCAGTCAGTGTTTTCACAGTTCATCAGGTCTGGGTTTGAGCAAGTGAGCAGCCTGTGCAGAGTGCAGCTAAGGCACAAACAGACTAGGAGAGGAGGTTTTCAGGTTCTCTATCCCTATCACCAATCATATAAAAAGCCACCCCAAGAAAGTTATTGGCCATGGAAATGAATAAGCAGATGTTATTAATCACTCCTCGTGAGAAAACAGTTTGCAGGTTACTACTATGTCCTTGCTATCCTGCTCCCCGGAAGAGTGAGAAGGTAAGTAGGTAAGAAAGCAGGAAATGCATATTGCCAGGTTGCTGCACTGGTGGCATGTTTGTGACTGGCAGCAGGAGATGGAACGTGTCTGATCTTGCAAGCAGCTCCTCGGTGGCTTCTGCATTCTGAAAAGCTCAGAGAGGCAGAAAGACAGAAACAGGAGGTTAAGGAGCATCATGAAACCCCCTTCCCTGCTGTGGGGCAGGTAGGTGCCCTGGGAATGGCAGTGGACAGGAAGCAGAGCTGAAGCTGTCAGGTGAAAACTAGGAGACGAGGAGCTCAATGGTAAAATTATCTGAAATGCTGCCAAATAATGTGCTCAGTGTCAGACAGAGAGGTCTTTGTAACTTCAGGCACCTTCTTGCAGAAAAATGGTGTAAAAAAAGGAGATTTGGATTATTTATGAACAGAGGAATATTTGAAATGAAAAGATCCTTTGTTTTCTGAAGCAAAAGAAAAGCAGGCCACTGACACGCAAATCAAGAGATTACAGAGTAGTTTCCAAACAAAGAATTAGGGGAAAGCTGGCAAGATGAACTAATACACATTATGGGATAACACATCCTTTACAAGCAATTTAAGTGATCCAGAAATGATGGATGGGGCAGAAGATGGCAAAACTCTACTGCAAAATAGGAACTGTTGGACAAATGTTGCTTAAAAAGAATTCAGAAAAACAGGAAACCCCGCCACTTGTAGTGAACATTTAAAAGTGAGATGGAGAAATACACATATTTTAAAAGAAGCTACATGGCATATGGGTATATTATAAATGTGGTCGAAGGAAGATAGCTAGCAGATCATAACCAGCACATCTATTGTGCAAACATATAGGGATGGCAGTTGTACCAGTGAAAGAATATCTCTAATGTGTTAAAGAAAAAGTAACAAATTCACTGCACCAGCAAATGCCACAGGATCCATGGATTAGCCATGCTAAAATAGGAAAACATCATAACAAGATTAAATTATGAACCATGTGAGATCATGCAAATGATAATAAATGTGATGAACTAAGGAAATCAGAGAAGTGTCAATGGCAGCAAGCACAGTCATAAAAGGAGACTTATAGTATCATAGAATTGTAGAATGACTTGGGTTGGAAGGGACCTCAAAGATCATCTCATTCCAACCCACCACCATGGGCAGAGTTGTCAGCCACTAAGTCAGACTGCCCAGGAACTCATCAAGCCTGGCCTTGAACATCTCCAGGGATGGGGATCCACATCT